TGCCTGTTCCCTTTCCGTCCCGACTGTAACCCATCTACCTTTTTCCTGTACCCGAGGTGTGACTGCCTCCCTGTAACTCCTCTCAATTACCCCCTCAGCCTCCCGAATGATCAAAAGTTCATCCAGCTCCAGTTCCCCAACGCGGTTTCCGAGGAGCTGGAGTTGGGTGCACTTCCCGCAGATGAAGTCAGTGGGGACACTAGTGGTGACCCTTACCTCCCACATTCTACAGGAGGAGCATGCAACTGCCCTAACATCCATTCCCACTGTTCTGAATTCTGAAAAAAAAAAAAAAACTAGTAACCTTACCAAATCGGCGCTCAGAACTTTTTTTTTGGTGCTCCACGAAACAGTCCCCGAGTCTGCACTTGGTCTTACCAATGTAGAGGCCACATTGGAGGCAACTTAGAGAGTAGACCAGGTTGGAGGATAAAGAGGTGAACCCGTCGGATATGGAAAGTTCATTTTGGGCCTCGGATGGAGGTGAGAGGGGAGGTGTAGGGGCAGATTTCTGTGGTTGCAGGGAAAGGTGCAGGATATGTCGGAGTTAGTGGGGAGTATGGAGTGCACGAGGGATTCGCAAATTGAGTGGTCCCTATGAAGGGCAGATAGGGGTGGGGAGGGAAATATCTCTTTGTTCGTGGGGTTGGATTGTAGGTGGCAAAATGGACACACTGGATGTGGAAGTTGGTGGGGTGGTATGTGAGGACAAGGGGAATTCTGTCGTCTTTATTTTTATTGGGGGATGGGGTTTGAAGGGAGAAACAAAGTGGGGGTGGGAGTCGCGATCCTTGAAATAGGAGGACGACATCTGGGATGCCCAGGAGTGGAACATTCCATCTTGGGAGCGGATGCAGCAGAGGCGGAGGAACTGGAAGTAGGGGAATCGCATTCTTGCAAAAGGGTGGTTGAGGTGATGTAGTCCAGGCATGTATGGGAGTCAGTGGGTTAGAAACAGATGGTCAGGTGTTGAGGCGGTTACCAGAGTGGAGATGGAGGGGTCAAGAAGGGAAGGGAGTTATCGGAGATGGTCCAGGTGAATTTCAGGTTGGGGTGAAAGGTGGGAGCACGAGGCAGTGCTAATACAATCATCAATGCAGTGGAGGAAGAGGTGGGGGATAGTGTCAGTGTAGCAGTGGAAGAGGGACTGTTCCAAATATCCTACAAAGAGACAGGCGTAGCTTGGGCCCATGCGGGTGCCTACGGCCACCCCCTTAGTTTGTAGGAAGTGGGGAGGACTTGAAGTTGTTGTCATCATCCAGGACAAGTTCTGTTAGGTGGATCAGGGTGTCAGTGCAGGGGGACTTACTGGGCCTGCAGAAGAGGAAGAAACAAAGTGCTTTTAATCCATCTGCATGGGGGATACCAGTATATAGGGATTGGAAGTCCATGGTGAACATGAGGTTTTGGGGGCCAGGGAATTGGAGGTCTTGGAGGAGGTGGAGGGAATGGATGGTGTCCCAAATGTAGGTGGGGAGTTCCTGGACTGGGAGGGGAGGGGAGGGGTGAAAGAAAGACAAAGACAGACAGAGTCAAGGTAAGTGGAGGAGTTCAGTGGGGCAGCAGCTGGAGGAGTTCAGTGGGGCAGCAGCAGGCGGAGACAATGGGGTGCCTGGGGCAGTCAGGTTTGTGGATTTTGGGAAGGAGATAGAAACGGGCGGTGCGGAGTTGGGGAACGATGAGGTATACATGGTACTAGACATGACGGTTTGGTATCAGAGATGAGGTCATGGTCGAGGAGGTGGTAGAAAGAGGTGTCAGAGTTGGTGCCTGGCCTCTGCAATGCAGAGATCAGTGTACCATACCACTACTGCCACCCCCCAACCCCCACCTTGTCCATAGGTTTGATGGGGAGGTTGGGGCTGGAGCGGAGGCCTGCGCATTCCATAGGGTAGAGGCTGGAATGAGTGAGGGTGGAGTGGAGAGATTGAGGTGATCGAATCACAATGACAGTTCAAGATGAAGAGGTCAAGGGAGGGTAGGAGGCCATGGGGTGGTGTCCATTTACATGTCATCTTTGAACATTTTCATTCCATCCTGCACTGCTTCAGTCTATTCATGTGTTCATCCAGGAGTTTCTTGAAGGCTGCCATTATGTCTGCTTCCACCACCTCCTCTGGCAGGATGTTCCAGACACTCACTAGGGGCTGCATGGTGGCTCAGTAGTTAGCACTGCTGCCTCACAGCACCAGGAACCAGAGTTCAATTCCACCCGCAGGTGACTGTCAGTGTGGAATTTGCACTTTCTCCCCGTGTCTGCGTGGGTTTCCTCCAGGTGCTCGGATTTCCTCCCACAGTCCAAAGATGTGCAGGCTAGGTGGATTGGCCATGTTAAATTGCCCATAGTGTTCAGGGATGTGTAGATTAGGTGGGTTAATGGTGGGGGTGGGGAATATGTTGAGGGTCAGTGTGGACTTGTTGGGCCGAAAGGCCTGTTTCCACACTGTAGGGATTCTATGATGTATGATCACCACCTTCAGTGTGAAAAAAACTTGCTTCACACATCTCAAATTCCCACCCCCTACACCTTGAACCTGTACTCCCTAATAATGGACTCCTTCCACCCTGGGAAAAAGCTTCATACATTCCACTCTCTATACTCAATGCCCCTTCCAAAGAAGGGGAGCATGCCACAGGCCTTTTTTACCATTTTTTTTAAAGTTAACGGGATGAGGGCATCGCTGGCTAAGCATCATTTATTGCCCATCCCTAACTGCCCAGAGGGCAGTTAAGAATCAACCACATTGCTGTGGATCTGGAGTCACATGTAGGCCAGACCAGGTAAGGATGGCAGTTTCCTTCCCATAAGGGCATTAGGTGAACCAGATGGGTTTTTCCGACAATCGATAATGGATTCGTGGTCATCATTAGATTCTTAATTCCAGATATTTTACTGAATTCAATTTCCACCATCTGCTGTGGTGGGATTCAAACTCAGGTGCCCAGAACATTATCTGGGGATCTGAGTTAACAATCCAGCAACAATACCAGTAGGCCATCGCCTGCCCAATCATATCTACCCTTGCTGTCACCTTCAGTAGTAATCTGTGGACCTGCACACCCAGATCTCTTGGCATATCAAAACCAAAAGAGTTCTGCCATTCACTGTATAATTTCCAACCATCCTTGACCTTCCAAAATGCATCATCTCACACTTGTCCAGATTAAACTCTACCATTTTTGTGCCCAATTGATCTATATCCTGCTGTATCGTCTGACAATCCTCCTCACTATCTGCTACTCCACCAATCTTAGCTGGTCTAATTAGTAAGTTCACAGACGATACAAAGTTTTCCTCCTAATAATTCATGTAGACCACAAACAACAGTACTAATTCCAGTGGAACACCAGTAGTCACAACTTTCCATTCTGAAAAGCATCCTTCCACCGCTACTGTCTGTCTCCTATGACTAAGCCAGATCTGTATCCATCTTGTCAGCTCACCCCAATACCATGTGAATTTATTTTTTGTAAAGTCTGCCATGAGGGACCTCAAAGGCTTTAATGAAGTCCATGTAGACAACATAAACTGCTTTTCCCTCCATCATCTGCATTGCCTCAAAAAATTTGATCAAGTTAGTGAAGCATGACCTCCCCTGCCCAGAACCTTGCAGCCTATTGTGAATAAAGTCCATTTGCTTCTAAATGCTTATAGATTTTGTCCCTAAGAATCTTTTCCAACAATTTCCCTACCACCAATGCGAGACTCACAGGCCTGTAATTTCCTGGATTATCCCTGCTACTCTTCTTAAATAATGGGACAGCACTGGATGTTCTCCAGTCCTCTGGGACCTCACCTGTGGCCAAGAAGGACACAAAGATGTCCATCAATGCTCCAGCAACTGGTTTTCTTGCCTCCCTCAATATTCTGGGATAGATTCTATCAGGACCTGTGGACTTATCTACCTTAAAACTTTTTAAGATTCACAACACCTTTCTTTTTTATTAGCAACTACCCTCTCGCTTTTTATATATGTATAAAGCACTTTGGGATTCTCCTTATTCCTGTTTGCCAATGACTTATGACTCCTTTTAGCCTTTCTAATTCTTTGTTTCCTGCTTTCCTTATATACTTCAAGGGCTTCATCTGTTCCCACACTCCTAGACCTTGTACACTTCCTTTGCCTTTTTGACCAAAGTCATAATATCCAAGGTTCACAGAATGTGCCATACCTATCCTTCATTCTCATAGGAATGTGCCACTCCTGACTTCTATCAACTGTCATTTGAAATATTTCCACACGTCGTATGTGCATTTAGCCTCAAAACAACCACCTCCAAATCAAAATTCTCCAGTTCCTGCCTAATCTTGTTGTAGTTCACCTTCGTCCAATTTAACACCTTCACTAGAAGATTGCTGTTATCCCTGTCTATGAGTGGAGTATCTCAAAAATCATGGCATTACGGCCACCATTGCTGAAATTCTTCCCCACTGAAACTTCACTCACCTTGCCAGGCTCATTTCTCGAAACTAGGTCCAGTGTAACTCCTTCCCTGGTTAGACTATTTACATATTGTGCCAAGAAACCCTCCTGAATGGTCTTTACTAATTCTGCCCAGAAACGCTGAGGAAACCCGATCTCTTCAACTTAAATGCTGCCAATGTGCAGATTTTGTGCAACCATACAAAGATGTAATTCATGCAAGCAAGATAATTCCAAACTTACTTCAAAAGATATGACATAACATAGCATTCAAGAGGCATGCTTTAATTACGGAAAGGCAAATTTGAAAGTAATCTATCCCATCCTTCATGTGGGTAGAGCAAGGGTGTTATTCTAACCATGCGTCTTTTAATGCATAAAATATCCGAACCTGGCATACTGAAACAACCATTTTTTTTTAGAAAGTGGATGAATTCAAGTGGGTCAAATTGTCAACATTTATGCATTAAAAGTTTGTTTACAGTGAAATACTATTACAAATCAACTTCTAATTATCTATACATCTGAAGGCACAATACATATTCAAAGTGCATAAAGTCCAATTTCAAAACTTACACATAGTTGAACAACACTGTATTCTACTTTTGCTGGACTCCAAGGCAGTTGAGTTTTTCAGTTTATTGGTTACCTGAAAAGCATGCACAAATTATTTTCTTTTCCATACAGAACAGTACGTATTTTAGTCTTACCGATTAAGAAATTTTCTGTCCCACTATAAATCTAAGGACATGTTACAAAGTGCTTTTCAAAATTTCCTCAAGTGAAAAAAAAATGTTGATGCCAGTTGAAAATTTCAATGCCTGATAAATGATTAATGTGTTCAATAGGCCTCAACTTGTTTGAATTGAATGCAACAAGAACAAATGGATAAAACTGGTATTCAAACCCAAGCAGGGATGCCAAATAAGTGGCTAATTGGAATATTGCTGGAGCCAGTTGACTTACAAGATGGACAAGTAGTAGCCCATTTAGTTGATTTGATAATCCACGACTTCATGTTCCTGCCTTTTCTACAACATTCTCAATTCTCTTACTGATTAAAATTCAGTATCAACTGTAAATACGCTTAAAGGTCCAGACTCCACAGCTGTCCGTAGTAAAAAATGCCACAGATTCACTACCTTCTGAAGAAATGCCTCTTCATTGGTCTGAAGTAGGTGATTTCTCACTCAGATTTTGCCCTTGGGTTCTAAACTCTCCTACAAGGGAAAACCACCTCATATCAAGACACGGTTGGAGCACTGGTTACTGCAAATGCTGTGAGTCGTGACAACATTCAGGCAATAGTAATGAAAATATGTTCTCCAGAACATGCCACACCCCTAGTAAAGCTGCTCCAGCACAACTATAACGCTGACATCTACCTACATGTGGAAAATTGCCCAGGTATGTCTTGTACACAAGTGGCGCAATGAATCGAACCTGGCCAACTAAGGTGAGTGAAAGCTCTTGACATCAAGAAACCCTAGCAAACTGAGTCAATAGGTAAAAAGGGGAAACTTTCCACTGGTTGAAGAAGTCATACCTGGCGAAAAGGAAGATAATTGATTTTTGGAGAACAGGCATCTCTGTTCTTCGGAGTAGCGTCCTAAACCCAACCATCTTTAGCTGTTTCAGTGACCTTCCTTCTAACATAGAAGTTAGAATAGGATAAAAACTGAAAAAAAAAAAAAAAACTGTGGATGTTGTAAATCAGGAACAAAAACAGAAGTTGCTGGAAAAGCTCAGCAAGTCTGGCAGCATCTGCTAAGAAAAAAAAAAGTTAATGTTTTGGGTCCAGTGACCCTTCCTCAGAAGACGATACTGACCTTTTTCCAGTAATTTCTGTTTTTGCTCCTGATGTGGGATGGTCACTGATGATTGTGCAATGAGCAGCACCCTTCATAACCTCTCAGATACTTAAGCAGTCCATGTCCAAATGTAGTAACTTGGACAATATCCACATTTGGGCTAACAATTAACATTCACATTACACAAGCACCAAGCAATGAATATAACTGACAAGACAGAAACTAACCATTGCCCCTTGACATTATCACTGAATCCTCCACTACCAATATCTTGGGGGTTACCATTGACTAGAAACTGAATTGAACTAAAAACATAAGTACTATGCTGTTGAGGTTTTGGTTAGCTCAGTTGTCTGGACAACTTGTTTGTGACGCACAGTGATGCCATCAGTGCGGGATCAATTCTCACACGTGCCGAGACAACCATCCAACCTTCTCAAATCTTAACTTCTCACCTGAAACATGGTGCCCATAGGTTAAACTCATCACTGATTTCGTCTCTAAGAGCAGGCCAATGGTCCTCTGGTACCATGGTGACATGACTGTTTTAAAATAAAACAAAGTACTGTGGCTAGAAGAACAGGTCAGGAGGTTAGGAATCTCGCAGTGAGTAATGTACGTCCTGATTCTCCTATCACTGCCCACTATCTATAAGGCACAAGTTAGAAGTGTGATAGAATACTCCTAACTTGCCTGGCTGAGTGTAGCTCTGACAAAATAAGTCGGAGGCCATCTGCAACAAAGCCTACTTTATTGCGCGAATGTGGTACCACTCAACTACAACCACAACTACTCAGTAGCAAATGTACATCATCTACAAATTGCACTGCAGAAATTCACCAAGACTCCCGGGACAGCACCCCATCCAAACTCATGACCATTAGCATCTCGAAGAGAAGGGCAGTAGACACATGGGAACACCTCGACCTGCAAAATCCCCTGCAAGTTGCTCAGCATCCAGACTTGGAAATATATCACCATTCCTTCAGCACTGTGCCAAAATCCAGGAACTCCATTACAGCAGCACTGCAAGTCTACTTTTAGTATACGGACTGCAGTGGTTCAAGACCAGTACCTTCAAGGGCAACAATGGATGAACAATATGTTGGACCAGCCAGCAATGCCCACATCCCATGACGGAATTTAAAAAAGTTCCTAGCTTCGAATTTCTTTGTAACCATGTCTCCACAATGGCAGAAGATTATATCCATTAGCCTTTGTTTGTCATTAATTCATTTGTTCTAAGTACTCTATTTAGGAGCAGAGCCATTAATTTTGTCTGTTTACTTTGTATAACAGTGTTCCTGATCCATTGACATTGTGAAGAGATCAAACAGAAGGTTTGCAGCTAAGATGGTGGACACCACGTCATCTATCAAAGCTGGGTGATTTCAAAAATATCTTCACTCAAGTCTGCTGCGAGCGTACAGCAGAGAATCATTGCAAAGGAAGGACTATTAATTGAAGATCTGAAGTAATACATCTGCCCTGTCTAAGGAGGAGTTGAAAACAACAAACCAAAAAAGGTTCAGAAGGAAAAAAGGAGGTGAGGCAACTGTCACTTCAACATTACATTGCACACCTGTTAGAGGCAGCCCATTGGAATTATCTAGATGCCAGTTATTTTTCTTTTCTGTGCAAGTGATTCATTACTAGCACCATTGTGCAATGTTGTGCATACCTGCACACCCAGCACCCAAAAAAAACTGTTCCCTTACCTCTTTCTTTCAACAGATGTGGGCATCACTGGTTGTACCAGTTTGGTTGCCTAACTCTGCTTGCCCTTCAAAATGGCCAATCAAGCTACTGCTCAAGGTTAGTTAAGAGTCAGCCACACCACTGTTAGCCTAGAGTCACAGACACCAAAACGGGATGACAACGACAACAACGTCCCATCCCTAACAAGGGGGTGTTAAAATCTCTGGTTTTCCCATGCTAGGTTCATGGCAACCATAGCATTGTTTCATGCCAAGTGTTATTAATTGAATTTAAATTCCCTCCAGCTGCCAGGATGAATTTGAACCAATGTCTTCTTAGCATCAAACCGGGCTTTGGATGATTCATCCATTGGTATTGCCACTGTGGAGGGATGAGATGGTGACATTAGCTTTAAGATTTTAGAAAAGATTTGTAGCTCAGGTTGTGGGAGAGGTTGACTTGCTCGCCAAGCTGGCTTGTTTTCATTCAGATGTTTCGTCACCATGCTAGGTAACATCAGTGAGGCCTCCGATGAAGCAATGTTGTTCCACTCTGCTTGGTATTTATATCGTCTGGTCATTTCCGGTTTTGTTCTGTATGTGTTTGTATATGGGATCCAATTCTCTTTGTTTGTTGATTTCATTATGGGTGGACAAACATGCCTCCAGGAATTCCATGCATGTAGTTTTGGCTTGGGCTACTATGGTTACATTGCCCCAGTTAAATTGATGGCCTTCATTGTCAGCGTGCACAGAGATTAAGGAGCTTGTCATGTCATTTTGTTGCTAGCTGATATTAGTGTATTCTGATTGCTAGTTTCCTTCCAGTCTGTCGAATGGGATGCTTGTGGCTGTCGTTGCATGGTATTTTGTAAACTACGTTGGTTCTGCATGTTGTGAGAATGGGGTCTTTCATCCTTGAGAGTATTTGTCACAAGAGTGGCTGTGGGCTTGTGTGCTACCAGGACGCCTAGTGGTTGTAGGAGTCTCATTGTCAGCTCTGATATATTCTTGATGAAGGGCAGTGTGGCCAGTGTTAGGGCGGACTGTGTCCTCTTTTTGTCTACTTAGTAGGCACCTACGGATGAAGTTGCGGGGATATCTGTGAGTAGGAAAGATTTTGTATAGATGCTCTTCCTCTTTCCTGCATAGATCTGGCATGTTGCAGTGAGTGGTGGCCCATTTAAGTTGTGTCCTAATACAGCGTTGTTTGGGGACATTGGGGTGGTTGCTGTGGAAGTGGATGATTTGGACAGTGTGGGTTGCTCTCCACTTGCACACTGATGTTTGGAAGTCTCTGTTGGTCATACGTTCAACTCTGATGTCCGGAAACAGAAGTTGACTGTTGTTTTCTTCTTCTTTCATGAATTTAATCCTGGCGAATGCATTGACGTGATGGGTCCCTTCTAGTTTGGTGTGTTTAATAACTACAAGTGTGCTGCCCATATACTGGATCCACAGTTTAGGTTGAATGCAGGGGGAGGGTAGTGTGTTCCAATGTTTGCATGACTGCCTCTGCGATGAATCCTAAAATGGGTGACCTCCATGGTGTGCCATTGATCTGTTTGTACTTGACCAGAGTGGGGTGAGGCACAAGTCTAGTAATTCGAGTATGTCGCCATTGCTGATGGAGCTGCTGGTCTGTGTTCCTGCTTCTGAGTAATGTGGCCAATGTTTCTTTGGCTAGTGGGACGTCAATGACATGAATAATGCTGTGAGGTCCAGGACTACAAAAACAAAATCAGCGTCAACGAGATTATGTTCTTGGAGGGTATTGAGGAATTCTTGGGTTGAGTGGATGGAATGCGGCAATCTGTCATCTAGGTGTTTAAGTCTCTGTTGTGGGTTCTTGGCCGTTTGTGTGAAGAGTAGGGAGACAATGGGTCTAAGGGGAATGTCTGGTTTGTGTACTTTAGGAAGTCCATAGAAGCAGGGAGTGTTCCTGCCTTCTGGTTTCATTCTCATGGTAGTTCGTCTTGGTTATCTGTCTTGCATCCTTTAGTCTCTTCAGTGTCTGGGTGATCGTATTACTTAGCTGCAATGCTGGGTTTATTACCACTTATTGGTAAGCGTGTGTGCGCGCATGCGAGGAAAGGACAAGGAGAACAACAAACTGGACACATGGATAAGAAACCTATCCAGTAGACAACTGCCAGAAATTGAGAAAACTGTCCTATTACGCGGACTGAACTACAACCACAGATGCGAACAGAACAGATTTCATGGCTGCCCTGGAGACTACATTAAAAGACAATAGACTCATGGACTAAACACAACAAACCATCCAACAAACTATAAGCTGAAGGAATGTATGGGATACCCTGAACAGAGAGGAAAGCACTAGATAATCTCCAGAAAGACAAGAACATCATAAATCCTACCAGTCGACAAAGGGCACATGACCATCATTATGAACAAAACCAGACTACGTTGAGAAAGCACAGGCACTGCTTGCAGATACAACCACTTACCTTTAGGTCACGATAGACCCAACACCACAGCTAGGTAATAGGATCACCCAGACTGGAGAGACTAAAGGATGCAGGGCAGATAACCAGGACAGACTAGATGAGAATGAAACTAGAAGGCATGAACATCCCCCGCTTCGATGGGCTTCCTAAAGTACACAAAATCAGATATTCCCCTCAGACCCATTGTCTCCCTACCAGGTGCACCTTCACACAAACTGGCCAAGGACCTACAGAAACTGAAACACCTAGTTGACAGATCATCCCATTCCATCCACTCAACTCAAGAATTCCTCAAGAACATAGAAATCAGCGATGATGAGATTACAGTATCCTTTGACATCACAGCATTATTCATGTCAATTAACATTCCACTAGCCAAAGAAACAGTGGCCACATTACGAGAGGAAGCAGGAACGCAGTCAAGCAGCTCCATCAGCAATGGCAATATATTCAAATTACTAGACTTGTGCCTCACCACATACTTGGTCTTTAATGGTCAAGTATACAAACAGATCAATAGCACACCCATGGGGTCACCCACTTTAGAACTCATCGCAGAGACACAGTCATGCAAAGACTGGAACACACTATCCTCCCCCTGCATTCAACCTAAACTGTGGATCTGGTACATGGACAACACATCCATCATTATTAAACGTACCAAACTAAAAGGGACACACTACATCAACAACATATTCGCCAGGATTAAATTCATGAAAGAAAACAACAATCAAATTCCATTTCTGGACATCAGTTGAACGTATGACCAACAGAGAGTTCCAAACATCAGTGTACAAGTGGAGAGCAACCCACATTGTCCAAATCATCCACTTTCACAGCAACCACCCCAATGTCCACAAACAACGCTGTATTAGGACACTACTTAAAATGGGCCACCACTCACTGCAACACGCCAGATCTATGCAGGATCAAGGAAGAGCACCTATACAAAATCTTTCCTATGAACAGATATCCCCGCAACTTCATCCACAAGTACCTACTAAATAGACAACAAGAGGACACAGTCCACCCTAACACTGGCCACACTGCCCTACATCAAGAATATATCAGAGCTGACAATGAGATGCCTACGACCACTGGGAATCATGGTAGCACACAAGCCCACAGCCGCTCGACAACAAACACTCTCAAGGATGAAAGACCCAATTCCCACAATGTGCAGAACCAAATGTAGTTTATAAAATACCATGCAATGACTGCCACAAGCATTACATTAGACAGACAGGAAGGAAACTTGCCATCAGAATACATGACCATCAACTAGCAGCAAAACATACTTTCCCTAATATCAGGACACTGACAATGAAGGCCATGAGTTTAATAGAGACAACGTAACCATAGCAGCCCAAGCCAAAATAGACACACATGGGAATTCCTAGAGACATGGTTCTTAACCCATAATGCAAATCAACAAACATATAGAATTGGACCCCATATACAAACCCATACATGAACAAAACTAGAAATGACCCTACTCATCATAATGGACCAGACGGTATAAATTCAGTGGAGTGGAACAACATTGCTTCATCTGAGGCCCCACTGATGTTACCTGGCACGGCGATGAAATGTCTGAACGTAAACAAACCAGCTTGGCAAGAAAAAGTCAACAACCACACGGTTACATTATACATTGCAATGCATAGCAAGGCAACAATTCAAAATTTAGTTTTCAAAACTTTTGATAATCCATGTTGGTTAAAGCAAGAAGTGATGGATTATGACAGTAAGTGCAACATTAAACTTGCCTCTATCACAATGACTTGTCAAGGAGACTAAACAATTGAACAATCTTAACCAGGGTAGTTAATTGAGGTCAGAATTATCTTCCAATTTTACAGGTGGAATATGGAGTATGTCCCTGATTTTACAGGCTACTGCAGATTTGCTCAAGTATGTCAGCTCAAATGGGAAGGTAGCCAAACTGACAAGTTAATGCACAGCATTTTCAGGAAATTTAAAAAAAAACCTTTCCATTAAATAAGTTTGTACACAAAGCGCAAACAGAAAACAAAGATACATTTTTTACTTTTCTTTTTAATCTGTATTTTTGACAATGTAATCCCAGAGCTCTTTAGATTTGTCATAGTTAACTCCGTTGGGCTTCAAGAACACTACAATTGGTTCACTGTCTGTAATTCCTAGTTTCTACTGGCTAATGAGAGTAACCCCTCTTAACCCTGAGAAACTTTGTAACGATTAAAATAATTTCACCCATATAATTATAACCAGTCAAGTATTTTTCCAAGACCAAACACAATGTAATCACTAAACTTTATGTAGTCGCAAAGGTTAGCTCATGTCAATGAAAATCGTAGAGTCAGAAAGGTGCCCTTTAGCCCATTCTGTCTTTACAAAATCAACAAAAATCAAACCATACTAATTCTATTTATTTGCACTTGGTCCATAGCCTACTATATCATGGCATTTCAATAACATCTCATCTAGG